TTCTTCCTCCCCCCCCTCCGGGGTTGGGGGGGGGGGGGGGCTGCAGCCTGTTCCATTTCATTCCTACCAGCAGTGGCTTTTGGGGAAAGTTTGAATCTCGCTGGGCATTAGGACTGGTTGAGACAAACTTGGGACCCTGACGACGCCAGTGGAAGGGCTCTCCTGGCTGCCCAAGACTCCTTTTGCCAGGGTGAGCTGAAGCAATGGCCCAGTACTAGGAGGGAGTTTGTGGAGACTTACAGTGGGATGGAGGGAGGTTTCCAGTTAAATTGGGGGAGGCTGATGCACAGACTCTGAAACAGGCTCCCCCTGAGGCTGCCCGGCTTCTCCTCCGCACTGCGTGGCAGTAAGCAGTGCACCAGCCGTGGCAGTCCCCCGTGGCTGCAGGTGCAGCCGCATTGTCTGAGCTCACATAGGATGCACCAGGCAGGGTGGGAGCTGGTTTCCCTGGGCTGCTGTGTGTGTTGGGCTGTTTACAACAACCCGCTGAAACTCAGCCAAACCATCTGGGAGGCACATTTCATCCTGACAACCCTTCTCACACGGTTCGCCAGGCAAACTCTCGTGTCCGCCCTGCACCAGCCAAGGACTTGACTCCTGGCCCTAAGAATCTAGATCAGGGTGGGCAATAAATAAAAAACCAGCAGCCCACAGGGCTGGTCCCTGGCAGGCCACTGCCGCTATGTTTACCTGCGCCTCCACAGGTATCGCAGGATCACAGCTCTGGTTGGCTGTGAATTGCTGTTCGTGGCCAGTGTGAGCAGCGGGAAGCATCATGGCCCGGGATGCTGCTTCCCACCACTCACACTGGCCACGAACAGCAATTCGTGGCCAACCAGAGCTGTGATCCTCTGATACCTGTGGAGGCGCAGGTAAACGTAGAGGTAGGGGCCCACCAGGGACTAGCCCTGTGGACTGGATCCAGCCCACAGGCCAGAATTTACCCACCCTGATCTAGATCCTGATCTTCCCTGCACTGACCCTACATCAAGTAGCCTCTGCTTCCCTCATGACACCAACCCCCTTCACACCCCTCCACAGCTGCCGCTCAGCTGCCTTTTGGCACTCAGTGGGGTTTGTGTAGCTCTTTCCACTCTGTCCTGTTCTTAACAAGCCCTGCTGGGGTTGCATTTGCCTTCTCGCTGCTTCTGATATAAATGGGAGCTCCAAGTCCCAGCAGGGTTCTCCAGACGCTAACAGAAGGAGGTTGGGCTCTTTGGAGGACAGGATAAATGGAGGGAGGGGGTAACAGCACGTAACAGCATGTCTGTTCTGGGCGGATGCAGGGGAAGGGTATAGATCAGGTGTAATTGTCTTCATCACCCCTCAGCAGAGTGTAGTTCAAGCTAGCAGGAGGAGGGGGAGGACGAATCACACATGTATCAGCTGAGCATAGTCAGCAGGGTCTCCTCTCTCCTCTGCTGATCCCAGAGGACAGAGCTGGCCCATTCCCTTGCTGTTAATGGAATGGCATCTCCCTGCCCCCTGCCATCACATCAGGCCCAGCCCACCTTCTCTGCACTTCATGGTGGATGGGGCACTGTCCAGAGATCACCTGTCTACAGCAAGCATGAGTGACACTGTCTCCATTCTTGTCCCCAGATGCAGCGCTTCCACCTGAATGTGTCCTCCGCGGGAAGGACCTCCCTGCCTAAGCGGGCGGTGCTGTTTGTGATTGTCTGCAACGAGTCCTGTGAGGTGTTGGTTCATTCAGAGGAGTCCGATCTGACCTTTGCCTCGGTGAGTACTGCACCCGGAAAAACCTTAGCAGCCTGAGCAGAACTCCGAAATGCACGTGACAGTCTGATGTGACGGAGACATGTCCCAGCTCCCATGTACCCGTTAGAATGTTTTCAAACCACTTCCTTGGTTCTCTAGGCTCAGTCTTGTCACTTGGTGAATTTTTTTAGACAGTTTGAGTAAAATCTGATCCAGCCATTGATGGCTAAGCCAAACATGGACCATGTGCTCAGAAAATCAAGGGAAGGAGGAGAGTTCATGGTTTCCCACTCAGCTCAGGGCAAGTCAGACTGAGCTCA